GAAACGAGAACTCTAATAGGCAACATGGATCATGCTTTTCTTCATGTTGGGAATACGGAATGCGTGATTCTAAGTTCTGTTCTTTGTTGCACGCAGGAAGCACTTCTGTCATGACCCATTTCAGTTACAGCAATTGATTATTAACTATTCTTGAAGAATGGTAATCAGGGTTAATTAAGTATGATGGTGCAGGAACGGTATAAAAACTCTTTGTCTTGCTTCATCATATGTGCACCTCTAAATGTTTCTCTGGAGAATGGAAGTGTGGACTAGCTATCTCTCGACTTAAACTTATTCGGGAGACTGAGTGTTCCAATGATCATGGAATCAGACTAATGTCGACTCTAAGGAAACTTTTTTTCCTGGATTATTCTAGAAGGGCTAACGAAGGTAGTGGATGTAAGGTTTTGCATAAATCAAACGCCCTCAGGATAGAGTACTCCTGCAATGACCAGTGTTTGCTCTTTTATCATCATTAAACAATGTATTCGTTTGCCAATTTCCGTAGAGCTGCGTTTCATTCAATACATCGTCGTACGACGTAGAAGATTTTAAAAGGCTATGAGATTCCTGAGCACTTTATTGCCATTTCTCAAAGCAGTGTACACAGCAACCACGTCTGCTGTCAAAGCCCAAGGAAAGTAATCTGAGTGGTTTGCTGTTACCTGTGTAGTTTGCCAAAAAGTGTGCTTTTTTCTTTGGTGTTCAACATTTCTTTCGAATTTCTTCTCAGAGACAGTGATGATCCTCGCAAAGTCCAATGTTGCATGTATTAAAAAGACGCAGTTCAAGATATCCAGTTAGATGTCTACCTCTTAGACAAACTGTTTAAATATAAATCACTTACTGCAGCCCATGAGCTTCTTTTCAAAAGACAAAACATGACACACGTTGATCAAGGGGACAGCTTGCAACATGGACTAACGAGGTACAGTTAAAGATGATTTCGAAGAGCAAGCGTTCATTCTACTATGGCAACCGGCACCTCATGGCAAAGTGTTGAAAAGTTACAAATACAGTGCACATCACAAACCACAGACGCTTTGCCGATGTAAGCGACTCGAGATGATGATGTCAACACGCGCATCAGTTGTTGGTTATTTTACTCCTGTCTCCAAAGCATTCCTCTCTAGACAAAAGCTACTCCCTAGAAATCGAGGGAAAAGTATAAGGACCACTGTCGGCATTGAGTCAGTTTCTCGTTTTAAAGTTAATCTTTTGAACAGCGAACGAAAAATCTTGGACTACACATAGAACATAGAATAGTAAATTTAAGCGACGTTGGATGGGCAACCAAAGAGTAACTCCTACTATTTGGATGAGCAAGACCAATGAAAATGCTGCCAACTTATTTGGCATCATGTGATCGTTCAGCTTAGTCAAATTTGCTACAAGTGTAGCTACAGCAGAATAAGGGAATATTCATGATATGACGAATACTTTACAATCGTACCTTTGAATCAGTTTAAACGTTTTAAGAATTGTTTAAAACCAGTTTATCATACTGTTGATGCTCCTCATTTGAAACTTGAACTTCCATCTGGCATATTAAATGTCACTTTTTCTATCTAGTTACTAAATCAAGGCTAACTACGTATGGATTATTTCTAAACATAGTTTGTGACATGTATTTGTCAGAGCAGAGTACATTCTAGTTCATTCGCGTATTACAGTGAGGGCAACTCTGCAGACATATCATACTCTCGGAAATATGCAATAAATGAAACTTTACCTATAGCCTTTACGTAACTGACCCTGGGTAGATTGCGCATTATGTTACCGAACATCATTATCATAGCCAACAGCGAATTGACTCCCAAAATCGTTCGAGCCGGTATTGCATATGGACCAAGCGTAAAACTGACCCAGCTGATAAAAATCGTCAGGTAGGTGGGTATGTACGCCTGAAGTATATACCATATGTACCGACGTTGGAAGGTGAATGTGACAAACAGTTGGTCCCAAATACCTGCAGGCGATTCCTAAAATTACAAATTTAAATGGTGCATTTTTGTATAGACGGAAATACATGGTTTTGGTGCCAGGTTGAAATATTGACAAGATCAAAATCTGGCAAACTGAAATGTTTCAGTTGGTAGACATTCTTTTTGTCCCAACGCATCTTCACCTCGTCGCTGTTATAGTTAAAACTTTCGTAGACCAGGGTGCACATCTGAGCATCGAGGGGAAACGAAGATAGATCCATTTTGCACGGCCCTTTAACTTTTACTCTACAAAAGTTATCCGAATCGTCGGCATTGAAATTATTATCAATGTTTATGATAAACGACAAAAGTGGCGCAACATTAATACGATATTAACCTTACCGGTAGTTTGTCCACACAGTGCCATTAGAGTAAACCATCAGAAAAACATTTCTGAAAGGCGAGTCATGTATGGTAGCCA